TGATACATTGCCACTCTTTCTTCTGTGCTGGTGCTGGCAGCAACATTGCCTTTAGAGCTGTATAGCCAGACAGTGAAATCTGGAGGACAATTTAAGGGTCTACCTCAGTTCCCTGGAGGCAGAGTTGAAACCACTGTGTCCTTGAAAACAGCATTATCCTTTGCATTAAATGTTTAGATATGTGTTTGTATGTAGTTTCACGTATAAAACCATAATCCTTGGATGATGTTATGATTATTACTGGAAAAGGTTGCCAGCTCTCCAAATTGTATCCTGTTGGTGTTTTCTAATATAGACAAATCCTAAGTATTAGGACAAAATGCAAATAGATACATACTGGATGTCAACATGCATTTGCATAATGCCACAGTGAATCTGCTCCTTAGGTTTGCTTCATTTGAGTCTGCAATCAGCTTTTTGTATTAAAAATAAAAGTCACTAAGAAAGTGTGTGAGGAAAGCCTATTTATAGAACAGGTGTGACATTTAATGAACACACCTAAGGCTAGAGGTTTTTTCCACAAGATTTTTCTTTGGAGAATTTTGTTGTGAGAAGGGATCTTGTAAGAAGTGTCTTTTGTTGTAAGAAGTATGAAAGAAAAATTTTCCAAAAGGCAAAGAACAAATACTTATTTTAAACTTCTCATGCTGTTCGAAGTATTATGAATCCTCTCCAACTTGCTCAATCACACCAGCTTCCTGGAAGCGGGGAGCAAGCTGTGGTCAGGGTCTGGGGGCGAGAGGAAGATGGAACAGGGAGTATGGTTGTGGGGAAGAAGCAGGTATCCAATTCTCAGGAATTAGAAAGTTGGCCACCATAAGTATCATTATACAGATCTTGGCTTCCCATGGTCACACCAAGGCCCACTAATGGAAAAAAGTGCTCTTGGCTAGACCAGTCTCTACTGGCAACCAAGTATTCTGGTTTCAGACTGAGTATGATCATTGTGGTTGTACCATCACAACCACACACCAGTAGGCACAGTCATTTTCTATCTGCACTCGTTAGGCTTCTCTTTACTGACTGGCTGCCTCATTCTAACCTCTTGGGCATTTTAATTTGCACTGCTAACATTTGGTTTCATCCCCGGATTAGTCTTTTCATTGGGTTAAATGCTTTTTCTCTTTGCTTTCTGGGCCCACCTTTGTTACCCAAATACCCATTTCACTTGGGCTATGTCTAGACTACAGGTGTTTTATTTCTTTTTTAAAGTGGCCTTTTTTGAAAAAACTTCATCTGCATCTAAACTGGTGCCGCGTTCTTTCGAAATTAAATCGAATGAACGAGGTGGTTTTTTTGACAGTGGTAAACCTCATTTTACAAGGAAGAATGCCTTTTTCGAAAGAGCTCTTTAGAAAACATGTTTTTGACTACAAACAGGTCTTTTTTGAAAAAGAGCATCCAGATTGTTTGGGCGCTCTCTTTCGAAAAAGCGGATTGCTTTTTTGAAAAAGTTGTGGCTGTCTAGACGATCTCTTTCGAAAGAAGCGTGTAGGCTAGATGTACCCTTCCTGTCCTGCCTCAGTTTGCAGAAGCTTAAGAGGGGTAGCCAAGTTAGTCTGTAACAGGAAAAACTTAAAAAACAACAAATAGACTAGTAGCACCATAAAGATTAACAAAACACGTAGATGGTATCATGAGCTTTTGTGGGCGCAACCCACTTCTTCATAAGTGTCATCTGAAGAAGTGGGTTGCGCCCACAAAAGCTCATGATACCATCTACGTGTTTTGTTAATCTTTATGGTGCTACTAGTCTAAGTTTGCAGACTAAGCTACCAAACTGGACTAAGCTCAGAGGCAATAAGGAAAGGTTCATCCATCTGTCTCTCAACCCCAAAGGTCCTGCTTACTATGGGCATGTCTAGACTACATCCCTCTCTTATGAGAGGGATGTAAGTTGGACATAACGACATTGCAAATGAAGCAGGGATTTAAATTTCCCATGCTTCATTTGAATAAAAATGGCTGCCGTGTTTTGCCAAGTCAGCAGTTTGTTGGCAGAAAGCGGCTGTCAAGATGGGGATCGGGCGGCAAATCCCCATCTTGACAACCGCTTTTTGCCAACAAACTGCTGACTCAGCAAAACGTGGCAGCCATTTTTATTCAAATGAAACACAGGAGGTTTAAGTCCCCACTTCATTTGCAACGTCGGTATGTCTAATTTACATCCCTCTGGCGACACAGGGCTGTAGTCTAGACGTACCCTATCCTTTAAAGTTAAACAACAAAACAGTGAGAGTGAGACTGGATAAAAGTGATTCCTTCCAGTTACTCTCCCAATTGATCCACCTCATGTTGCCAGAGATTCTGAATGTGGTCAGTTCTGAGCACTGCTGAACACACAACTCCCATTCAAGTCAGCAATGGTTGAAAGTGCTCTGCACCTCTCAGGAGGAGCTCAATATATTGCAGGGTTGGTCCCTTCCATGTCATCTTTGTTAGACCACTGTTTTAGGACTGCTAACTCATGAGGCTAATACATGCATGATTTCAGGTGTCTACTCGGTGCCCGCACTAACAAAGGAGAGGGCAATTGGGAACTTAATACCTTAATTTACTAAATCATGCTCTCCTGAAATGTAACACCCGCTGTAGTTGAATTTAAGCTGCTTGTCATAACTGATTCCAGGCTTCTTTTTTTTTTTTTTTTTTTTTAACCACCTTTATTAACAAAACAATTATCCAAATGTATTATCTACATTTATGGATCATAAAGTAGGTAGCTCAGAATCCTTTCTGATGCAGGTTTGGCTGGATTTATTAAGCAACAAATTTCATCATGGTTAAAATCCTTCATATATACAATGTCCTAAAGCTTTGGATATCTGGAAAGTTAACTTAACTTTTTAATCTTATTATGTCTTCATCCTGGTGATCTGTAGCAAAAATTCTGAATACTGTTGTTTCTCATTCACTTTCATTCCTTATGTTAAGTAGAATATTTCACTGCCCTCTTTAATGTTAAAGTTCTCACTGGCTTGGTAAAAAATAAATAGCAATTAATTCATCATTTTGTCAGCTGGGTAGTCCTTTATTGTTATTGATTTCATCTAGATTCTCTTCAGGTGAGGAGGATATGAGCTTGTCTTGTTCCCAGCCAAGATGTCCATAGAACTGTATTGTGTGGTATTCCAGAAAGATATACTCCCTTCCACAGATGACTATATTACGCCCTACCATATAAGATGAAAATAGCCCTTTCCCCAGATGCCCCTTCCTGGTTCTAACTAATTCTCTCCCTTGAACACAATTTCTCTCCTTTGTTTGCTTTTCCGGGGTTAGTCCTCTAAATTTGGGAGAGAGAAGCAGCTGATTGCAGCCCAGTTCAAGCTGATTCAGTATCTTTTACGTTAGGGATAGGCAAAATGCATCCCAGAGGCTCAATCCAGCCTGCCTAACTCATTGGTCCAGCCCACAGACTGCATCAGGCTACTTCCTATTTATATCCTGCTGCCTGTGCCACCAAATTTCCAGGTGGTGACTCAGGCAGAACGATCCTATTTAAATAGCTAATGATTCCCAGTCATGGTACTACCCTGGCAGGGGTTGGAGCTGCAAGCTTTTTAAATAGCCAAAGCAACCCCAGATGGCTGCCAGGCAATGAGGTAGCAGCGGGGCCAGAAGTCGCGAACCCCTAGCTGTGTTTTTACTTCAGAGCCTCTGACCCCAGAGGACTCTGGGGGGAAGCTAGTCTCCGGCCCTACCTCTTCTGCCCCACACCCTCCCCTTCCTCGGTGAGGCGGTGGAACCAGCCCGTAACCAGTACCAAAATTCATTAACTGGCCTCTTTCCAAAAATTTCTGCCCACCCCTGTGTTATGTTGTCCTTAACTGTTCCATTTTTTGTTCCTGAGATGATGCATATTCTCATGAGATTCATCCCCAACCTATCAAGCCACTTAACTGCAGATTTCTAGATAGGGAGCCAGCCACTGGAGGAAATTTTGCATATACACCGTTAGAGCTTGTTGAATTATTTCTTGTGAATATTTTTAGTTGATGACGACTTTAGTCTCTTTCTGAGTAGATCATGACTTGCAACATTTGTTTATGTTACTTGAAATTACTTGCCTATAGATTTCTCACTGTATTCATATAATTATTTGGTATTTGAAGTTACTCAAGCTTTGTAATAGATCACCTGAGTCATAATGTCCATGAATGGCTGAATCTAGCCTTTAGTATCTACAGAACTTTTACTCTACCCTTTTCATGATGATAAGTTTTAGCTAAAAAGTTTCACTTGCAGATCCAAACTTTCCCTGTCACACACAATGGCACAAATAAATCTTCAGTTACGTTATGGCAAATATGGCTAAATGAAAAGATGGGTCAGAATTTGCAAAAATGATTACAAATTTCTCACACAGTTCTACACAAGTAATGCAAAGCTGTAAGCTAAGGTTTTTTCACTTTCATAGGATTTCTGAAAATTTAAGGGAAAGAATCTCATTTTTCTTCAAATGTCTCATGAATGCAATGATTTGTGCAGTTTCATTTCACTCTAAAATAAGTAGTTGACATTTCGGTATGGAAAGAACTTTTGAAGTATTTTATGTTGAAAGAATGTTGATAGATACTTCAAGAAAAGTTCACTATATACTTTCAAGCAGGCATCATAATTTTTAGATAAGAGAGATTTTAAAAACAAATTAATTGCTGATTTCCTACACTCCAAAGTACCGCTCTAACCTTGTAAAACTGTCATGCTCCGGACATTTTGCACACTGAAGAAAATCACTGTTTTGCCTGGAGCAAGGAACATAAATGTTGCAACACTGACTCCTCCTCTAATGGGCTGAGAATGTACAAGTACCTAGTTATATTGCTCAGAGCCGACAGACTGAATATCTTGGGAGTCAGTGCTGTAAACATTAGAGATTTTTCTGAATCTTATTTTTTTTTTTTTTTTTGTGTGGGGGGGAGGTATTTTCCTTTCTCTGGATTTACTGGTTTTTTTTTTAACTCTTACCAATGCTGGATTTTCATGTTCTTGTTCAGGAAGTGCTCCCGAACTGACATGGATCAACCCAGACTTCATTACCAGGCAAAAGTGAGTACTGTGGCTAAACCTGTTCTACAGTGTGTTTACATAGGTATATAAGGATGTTTGTCATTCTATAAAGTATCGTATGGGCTTTAGACTGATTGGTAGACTTTGTAAATGTTAATAGGCTATTAAAAATCATCAGAAACCAGCTAAACTCAATATAATGTGTTAGATACTGTATAGCTAGCAGCTTCTGGAAAAAAACTATTGTCACCTGGCTGACAGTTGTCACCAAAACAGCTGTCTCCTATGAATTGCTAATAATAGCCTGGGCAAGGAGATTTTAGTTTACAAGGACACTTTAGACTTGCACTGGTCTTTTAATTAAATGTTGAACTAAACTTACATGACTTTATTATTACCTGAAATATGCATTAGTTATGATCACTGAACGTACATCCACCTAGTGTTTCTCGGAAGATTATTGATTGGGATCAGACTGTTTGACATCTTTAGCATTCACTGACACTGGCATGGGGTGGAAGGGAGGTACAGAAACATGAGAATAGCTAACTGAGCTGGGGAGGAGAAAGGGAGCTGTGATGATTTAGAGCCCTTTTATCCTTCTCTGCATCCTGTGGAACCTCACTGCCATCTCTAACACATTCTCCGTGTTCTGGGGATTGTGTGGGATCTGTTTGGTTGGTTGTGGGTTCAGAGGGGGCCAGCATTTTTTTTTCTTTGGTCAGGCTGACTTGCCTACAGCAAACTAGATAGATCCCTTTTCTTTCCTTCCTACATCAAGCCTCCCTCTCACCGAGGCGCTGCACTGCATCCACATATCTTTTATTTTGTCTTGAGAGATGGGTCACTGTTGTTGAGCTATAGAGTCTTCCTTTCCCAAAGGCACATGAGTGGACTGCCTCTGTAGTATGAACAAGTCTTAGCAGGAAGCAATGCCTGGCATGTGTATATAACTAGTGCTATCATTTACTGTGTGTTTTATGTTGGCAATGCAGCCTGATAAAACTGATATTTAATTATGCTATGGGCTGTCTATCTCTGATGAAATGACCTAGATAAACAGGCTGGCAGGAGGATTAGCAACAGCTCACATGTAGCTGTGCATATGTGGCATGTAGACCTTGAAGGGAAGGGGAACCTGGAGGAATGCAGGTTGTATAGTTTAAAGTTAGTCACGAGAAAACATTTAAAAAATAAGTGTCTGAAGATGGGGTGGAAATTGAGAGTTTAGATTAATATCTACAATATGTTTGTGGCTATTTGGTCTAGAAATTGGACCAAGTCATCAGAATAAGCTTTCTTGTGAGAGCTGAGTACTATGAAATAGGGAGCAATTATGTTTATGAACTAAACACAGAGCTGGAATTCAGGACTCCAAAGTTCCTATCCTAGCTCCGCCACAAAATTCTTGTAACCTTGGGCATGTCACTTAGGCTTGCATTTGTAAAATCTGCCACTGATTTTGGGTGCTTCCTTTATCTGGTGTCTGAGACCTTCTTGAAAGGTAATGAGCTTCCACTGGCTTCATCTGGAGTTGCTCGGCAGCAATAAAAGTCAGACTTATCTGTTTCAGTTTGGGCATTCAAATGCTTAGATGCCCCAAACTAGTAGCAACTTCTGAAAACTTTGGGACTGACTCAGAGGCTGTAGGAATTAATTCAAAACCTCTGAAAACTGGGGGTGAAATCCTGGCCCCACTGAAGTCCAAGGGAGTTTTGTTTCAGCTCAGGTCTTTTATTGCCCAAGGCTGACTTCCTCCTCAGTGATTAAACAAAAGTTAATTACAGCTTTTAAAACAAAATAAATAGGCTATGTATTGTTATTTCATGGTCTCAGACACTGATAGTTTTCCTCCAAGTGTTTCAGTACTTCTGCACAGTCAGCGTTACAAAACTTAACTAAATTAATTTAGTTTTACAAAAATTAACTAAACTTCTTAACCCTCAGGAAGGATTTGATTTTGGATTTCCCCAACTTCACCCCAGTCTCTTGCGAGGAAGAGCTCTTCTTGAAGGATCTATTCTGTCTCCTGACAATATTTAGCCTTTCCTGAGCTTCAGTCAGTCCCTACCTGCCCACCCTCTCTGGACAGGGGTGCATGTGTTGCCTCAGTTTGTTTAATAAAACAGTTTTCTGCATCATTTACTACTGAAGAAACAAGAATCAAGTTTTACGCTGAATTATGCTCCCATTGCTCTTGAAACCAGTAAGGATGCATGTTAGTGTAGAATCTGGCACTAGAGCTGTTGCTCTATTCAAATGCGTATGTGGGCACACAGCTTTATTTGGGTTACTGTAAGTAGAATGTTAAACCTTTTATTAGGGTTGCCAGATATCTTCACAAAAAATCCTGAACACAGCAGGAAAAAAAAGAAAAAAAAAAACAAGGAGCCAGAGTTGTTGAGCAAAGAAGAATGTCCCCACCGGCCTTCCATCCGAGAGAAACAGAAAATACCAGGCATTTTACATATCCGGTATTTTCTGTTTTTTTTACCGGACAGGGATCAGAAATAACAGACTGTCCGGGCAAAAACCAGACACCTGGCAACCCTACCTGTATAGTGTATCCCTTTTACCAGGTGTAGTCAGCAACAGCAAGAGCCAGGTCCAGTATCTGAGTTCCCCTTTATACATAACAGAACCATGTAGAGCCCTCACCCACTAATCAGGGAAAATGGAATCATCACTCCAGGTGCCTATAAAAAAGACAATGTTTCCCCACTAGCAAGTACTAACTCTCTCTGTATAACAAAAGAAAACTTGTTGAAAGGGAGAGGGAATTTAATATTAATTTGGGAACATACTCATGATTCAACAGCATGGGCAGTGGCCTTTACCTCAGTTTTCTACCTTGCTGCATGAAAGTCCAACAAACAAATATCCTTTCTTCCAGAAAGTTATTTGTATTAAATATCAATTAACAACACACAGAAGAGGCTTGGCGGGAAGGGAGATAAGAGTGCAGGGCAGTTTAGGTCAGTGTTTCTTAAACGTTTTAAGACTGACCTAACAATTGAGGGGAAAAAAAAGTCACCCCTTTAAGGGCGGCCATTTTGAATTCTGTTGTTTTCCATGGCACACTTCCGACTGCTTTGTGGCACACCGTTGTGCCCTGGAACACAGTTTAGGAAACACTAATCTAGGTTCTCATAGCTGTGTGTAACTCCACTCTACTGCCAGAAGGGATTGATGAATAGGGTACTGAGACATTCCAGGGAGGAGTCTGGGGAGGGCATGGAAAGCAGTTCTATATTAACTGCAAGGGGTGGGGTGCAAGTACACATGCATTCTGCATGGAGCATGATTAGGGAATTCATCATCTGTTTGCCCCCCTATCACATTTATCATTTGCTTATAGTCCATTATAGTTTACTCCTTGCTCTCCTTTCTATCTTGCTTGTCTATTTTAGACATTTTCCATAGGTACAGGGTTATTGAAGCAGATATCTCAGTTCTGGGGGTAAGCAAGGGTGCATGTATGCATGTTAAGATCAGGTCTCTATGCTCCTTGCTTATATACCACCTTGCTCCCTGCACAAGTGATTGACAATTTGGCACAGGACAGTTTCCAACAATGGCAGAAGGAACAAAGCATCTCTGCCAAGGAACCTTCAGCAAAGGATTAGGTAAGCTAGTCTTGTACATTTTCATCCCTTCACCCACTTCTAGAATATACAGAACAAAGGGCAGCTCTACTTCCTATCAGCATCAACTTGAAAAAGATCACTTAGCAGATCTCTCCTTTCCTGCATCATGGACTCCAGAGACAGACTGCTGGGACTGGCTAGACCTCTGCAAACTGCCACCATACAACCCTGCTGTGTGCTCCATATTATCCTTCAACTCTATTCCCTCATTCATTTCTTCATTCTTTAAGTTGAGTCTAGGGTCTCGAGCCCGGGCGAAGTATTCAAAGGTCTCTAGACAGGGAAGCGGGGTTATCACAGAGAATGGCAATCAGCTTCTTATAGAGATACTAGTCTTTGGTGCAGCACCAGAGTGACTGTTTGCCTCCCTGGCCTTCTGATATGTGGGCCTCAAGTCCTTATCTTTGCACAGTACTAGTGCATATCCCATTCATAGCCTTTATCCAATATGCTGCAAGAAATCTGACTGTAGGTGTCAAAGTTCCTATGTCTGGAGAACAGCTGGAACTGCACAACCTCCTCCCCGACAGAGCCAGCAGATCCAACCACTTAGGTGTGCTCCAAATGGAAGAGTGTTTGCTGCGTCAAGCTGCCACAGTCTTCTGCAAGATGTGATATGAGATGCCCATGCTAAGCAATCAGGAAGTGGAATTTCTAAAATTCCCTGGTCTTGAAAGGTGGAGGGACAGATGCCTGTTTACCAGGGTGCAGGGAAGTGGGATTCAAACTGCTGACCAGAGTGGTCAGGATGGGCATTGTGAGACCTCTCCTGAGGCCATTTACAGTGCCCTAACCAAGCTCAATGTTTACACTAAACTTTGTCTCTATAACTATGCTGTAAAAAGCTTTATGCATGTCGAGGTGATTATATTTTGCTGCAAAAAGAGCATTTTAATGTGTACACTTCTGCTGTTTTGTTGATGAAACCTGACTATTGTTGACAAAACAACATAGTGTAGACAAGGCCTAAGCATGGAGAGAGATTGGCAGGGGAGCTCAACTACTCCCATTTCACTGGGTTTGTGTCCATGGTCGTTGCATGGGATATTGAAGGGCTGGCACTCTGGAGTGCCTTAGGGCTGACCTTCTTGGTCCACTTCCTACCACTCACTCTACTGTCCAAATTTTGTAGTCTGTAGCAATAAGGTAATGAAAAAGCTACTAACTACACCTTCTTTCTGGGCCAACCAAATAAATGCCTCCTCTCCAAGAGAGGCTTCTGCAAGAGCTCCATCCCAGAGTGATTCCATCTCCCTGCCTTTGCAGCCTCCTTTCAAGATGTCTGGCATTCCTCTTAAATTCCACATCCATCTGGAGCATGCTTTGCAAGAATTGCTGGAGTGGGGGTAATCTGTTCTTTAATCCTTCAATTGTAATACAGGGTTTATTCAC